TCCTGTGAGTATTTTGGAGTCTTGTGTGCACTGGGATTTGTTCTGGGCCTCCCTGCTGAAGTCTTGATCTCATGTGGGATTGTGGAATTGTTCTAGAGCTCTCTATGGATGTGGGACTGGAGTTGTGATGGAGAAGGCTGTAAAAAGGAAACGTTGCCACAGCTGGGAACCCCAGTGAAAGTCACAGGGGAGACTGGGGTTTCTGCATGGCTGTGTGTGTAGATGTTGGGGGTCCAGAAACGTGTCACACAGCAAGAGTCAAGTCTGATGTCTTAGAAAGCTGTACAGATCTCCACAGTTGTGGAATGTTGAGGAGCTGGGCAGTCTATTTGACACCATGAAAGAGGGGTGGCCTTTCTGGTCAGTTCTGGTATGACAATGTGTAGCAGAAAAGCGAAATTACCCTTCAATTCCTCACCCCCACTTGAAAATTCTTACATAATTGAGTACAAGATAAAACTTACTGTGGCTGGAATAGGTTTCTTGGAGAGGTTGGAGAGTCTCCATTCCTTGAGATGGTCAAAACCTGATCAGGCATGTTCCTGAACCTGCTATTGCTGCCTCTGCTTTGACTGGGGCTGGGGCAGGATTTGGGGACTGCCAGCAATGCCTTCCAACCTCACCTGTTCTGTGACTCAGATAGGGAGAGTTTGGGTGTGGCTTCTAGGGAAAAGTAGCAAGGCTCATAAACCAGTAGAATTTAACCCCCAGGTAGCAGTCCCGTGTGTTCTGTAGTGAGGAAGGTCAGTGAGGACTGAAGTTTTTGACCTTTGTTACCTGTAGGGCATGTGAGGGTGCAGAGTCCCCAGTATGAGTTTGGAGTGATCTCACGAGATCCCTTCCACCATGTTTTTTCTGTGCTGAATTGTGGTTTTCCTGTGCTCCGTATCCACAGGACACCGTGGCTGCCCAGCTGTCCATTTCCCTGCTGCGCCACACAGATCTGCTCCCTGCAGACAAGGCTTTCTATGAGGCTGGGATGGCTGCCAAGGTAAGAGCCAGTTGCCACCAGCCCAGAGAAGGAGGTAGGGCACCCTGGGCTCAGCGATTCTCAACTATCCCAAATCCTCCACTGGCTGCTGGACTCTGCACTGAAGGCTGTTCCTCAGCAGCTCTCCAAACCTCAGCCAGTGCACAGACAGGACCTACAGAGCTGGGGGGACAGAGGCCATATTGTGGCTCTGTCAGTGTGGATGTGCTCTGTGTCACCCAAGTGTCTGACAGTGTCCCCAGGAGCAGTGACACATGGTAAGGACAGTAGCATGGCCTCAGTGCCTGCACCTGGCTGTGCAATAATAGAATCATAGAATGGTTTAGGTGAGAAGGGACTTTAAGGCCATCTTGCTCCATCCCCTGCCATGGGTAGGGACACCTTTCACTMGAGCAGCCTCTTCCAAGCCCCATGCAGCCTGGTCATGTTGCCTGTCTCCATTGTGTAGGACAGCCTGTGGCAGTGAGCTGGTTGTCCCAGGGATGGAAAGCTGGGATGTGCAGTCTCCTTGTCCGTTCCCTGGGCTGTAGGCAGGAAACTGTGGCACAAACAGAGCCACGTCCTTCCCCAGCCATGGCTCTGGGAGGAGAGCTGTGGTGGTGAGGAAGAGCTGCCCAGTCTCACTCGGGTTCCTCTCCATATCAGGCAGTCAGCTGGGAGAACATGGCATTCGTCTTCCTGAACCGCTTCCTGGACCTCTCAGATGTGAGTATGGTCTGTGGGGGAGGGCTGTCTCTGTAGAACAATGGCAGTGGGCACACCTAAGGCTCCTATGTGACAGCACACTGGAGCTTGCACTGCTGAAAAGCCCCAAACCCCGCTCAGTGTGTGCCTGGAGAGCAGTGGGCACCCTCACATTACCTGTGGCACCTGCACAGCCCTGCCCAGGTCACCCTGGCTGTGCCAATGCCACGGTACAGAGCACGTGGGCCTGAAATCCTCAGGGCTGCAGATGCCATTACAGCTTTCAGAGTGATCTCACCCACATTGTTCCAAGAGATGAAAAAATACTTGGGGGGTGGAGGCCATGGCACAGTGCTTGGCCCCTGTGAAACAAAACTCAGGAGTCCCCTAAGCCCCTTCGTTGGCCAGCAAGTTGGCCACCAGAAACACCAAATCCAAGGGAGCTGACAGACCTCACAGTGCCAGACTCTCAGGTCCTGTCAGCAGCTGCTGGGGAAAAACAAAAGCCTCTGATTACATCTTTCCCTTCTTTGAGGCCACCTGAATAGGGCAGTGTCTGTCCTACACTGCAGTGTAGCCATGGATGGCAGGAGGGCCTGGTCCCCACAGCAGGAACAGGCAGGGGCATCCTAATTGTGAACTGTACTGTGAGCTCCATGACTGCCACTGCACAGTGCTCCACCGCTTGTTTCCCAGGCCATTGAAGAAGGGAACCTGGATTCCCTGGACCATTCCGATTTTCAGAGGACAGACATTCCCTTTGAAGTGCCTCTTCCAGCTCATCAGCACGTGCCTGTGAGTGTCACCTTCCTTCTTCAGCTCCTGTGCACAGTGATGCTGCTTCTGAACAGGAATTGGGGTGAGGCTGGGACTCCGGGGATTGTAGGGGATGGAAATGGACTCAGTAGTGCCTTGTGCCCCCGCCACAACCACGCACACCTGTGCACAGACCTGTGCACACACACACACACAGAGTCACACACACCCACACCACACACACACACACACACACACATGCACATACCTGTGCACACACACCCACACCCACACCACACACACACACACACACCCACACACACTCTCTCTCTCTCCTTATGATCCCCAACTTACACACATACACTCAATCACCACAGTGCCCCATGAACAAGCGG